ATTGCACTGGCCTTCCACTGTGCTGGTTTCCATGCTAATGAGCTAATTATTGAACAACAATGTAGTTTGATAATTCAATCGTGCTAGACACTAATGAACACACCATTTTAGTCACAAGTGTGTGGCGTTTCAGTTCCTTTTACGCTCATCCACTGTCTGGCGCTCAGAGAAAAGAAACCTTCAAGACTGTATAAAATATATTAAGGATGGGAATTGGTCTCAGGCTTTTTTGCATGGGTTACACTATATCTGTCCTTCCAAAAGCCTATAGACACAAATGACTTCGTTCTAAAAAGAAATTCTTGCTTCAATCCACAAAGCACATACTAGAATGAAAAGATAAAGATGTGGGATTTGGGGATGTGCTACAAAAAGTAATTCTGATATTAAATAAATATGCTCCCAATTTCCTCCCCAGAGGCTTCAGTCACAGAAAGGATGATTTTTTTGCCCTTTGACATGACTGAATCAAACAGCGCGGGATTCTTTTGGCATTATTTAATGGTGAGGCTGGATTCACAAGGCTGTGAGCTGATGGCAAAGGCCACCCAACGCTTTATCCTTTATAATGTCTTAATGTGTGCTAGTGTATGAGACACAGACAGAGCTGAAGAAACTAAAAGTGAGAAAGTTTGAGGCTGGGGGAAAAGGGGGCGAACTTGAGTAAAGAGCGGGCAGAGCCATGGAACAAGACCAATAGCATGGCATATTTATAATGAAAAGAGCAAGAGAGATTCCTCCGCCTCAGATGATGCCCCAACACGCTGCGGGGAGCCAAATGAATGTTCTGATTTTTTCAAACCGTAAAATGGACGATTCTGAAGGTTTATTTCTACACAGGGAGAATTAAGCTGGTTTGACTGGGCTCCGGCACAGTTATCACATCCCCCAGCCGGACACTACACACAGGCAGGGCACACGCAGGACTCAGGAAAGGACTTGAAAGCATGTGTTGGATTCCTATGGCAGAGCGCAGAGTTGAAAAAGAGCGGCTGTCTGTACTGGGGGCTTTATTGGTCTCTGTCATACAAAGCGCAGCCAGGGGCGGTGTATCAGAGGTGGGGTGTGGGTGGGGTATGGGTGGGGGGCAGCAGCACGACTTAAGGTAGTTGGGAAGTTGTCTGCAGGAATTCATGAAGAGGCCGACTGCAGGCACTTTTCACTCCTCTCTTTCAAGCCTCACCTGTCACAGGCCTGGGCTATCAAACATCTCCTCCCGTGTGCTCCCTACTTTCATCTCCGGAAAACAACTCCACTATTTCTACCCATAGCTGTGCCTGTGCCAGTCAGTCCATTACATTACAAAACACTTAAACAATACATACTGTTCTTTTTTACTTTAATCAACTATAATATGCATATTACTTTACATTTAGTTCTTTGTAAATAATAAAATTGATCTAAAATGGCAATAAGCCCTGTCTTTCCATTGTTGTGTTTGAGAGAAAGCAGGGGATTTTCATGTTTTTTTTTTTTTTTGTTTTTTTTTTTTTTATCTTTGAAAAATTGCTACACAACAGTTTTTAATCCTATGTGTTTGACCTGGAGTTTAAATTATTTTAAGAAATTACTGAATGGTAGGGGGTTCTTTGAAAACAGACACTTTCTCAAGTCTCAAATGCAGGATAATACAGTTTTACACAAACATGCATGAATCAGTTGAACTACAAATCTGAACAAATGTTCATGAGAAAGAACACTGTTATAACTTGTTTTTGTTTTTTTTAAAGTTCATAAAAGTTGTTTTTGCAGATGTCCCCTTCTTAGCAGAACACTGAACTAACTATGTTCTAGTGATCAAGTATCTGGAATAAAATTGTTCAAATTGATATTGAAAATTATGATATTTAAAAAAATTCTAACTCATCAAAAGCTATAGATCAGACATAGTCACTGGCACACAGAGACAATCCAAACCACATCTTCAAAAATATGTTGCTCAAGCCTGAAACATTCACACACATTCAGCCTGTTGTGTTCTATTCTTCTCACTAGACTTGACTGCTTTTAAATTGAAAATACAGAGATATAGAATCAACGAGATTTGCTGGACCTATGATGGTATCAAGCACATCAGTCTCTTCTAATAGATTGTGTTATTGTTGTGAGCGCTCAGAAAGTTTATTATATCCACTCTCCCATAATGCAGTTGAGATGTTCATATGAAGTCAATGTGGTCAATGGCTTTATATATGAGCGATGTACTCACCAAAGCTATGTACAGTAGGTGAAACCCAGTGGGAAGTGCATTTCAAGTTCACATCTGTGCCCAAGTACAGTATCTCTCCACTCAATAAGAACAGGTTTGGAACAGGTTGCTCTAATGTTGCTTTTGGAGTTCTCATCTCACTTAAGCTAATTGAGTTATTGGCAAAACGATACAAGGTTACATTTCAGTAAAAATAAACACAAGCTTTTAAGAAAATAAAGACAATTTTCTGTTTTGGGGAGGAAATTGAACTAAGGATCATTTTGTTATTACATTAAGGTTTTAGTGAAAGTTATTTGTACTTTCCAGATTATTGTTTATTTTTACATGCATTATATTGTATGTGTATTTGGTGATACTGTATCAGTACTGCAGACCATTCAATCAACTATCACCATGACCATAATATATTATTTATTCCTAATTTAAGCAACTGTAACTATGTTGCTTATATTAGGCATATTTATGTGGGGAATTGGCTATGCCTTGGTTCTCAAAGTACCAAAGTACTCAACGTTTGAAAAATATTTGTTTCATGGTAATGGTTTATTCTGAGTTTTTGTGTATAGTAGTGTTGACGACACTGAAACAACAGAGTGCAAGAAATCTTTAATATCTTCCACAATGTCATCTTATTAGCATACAAGACCGGCAGTTCTAAACCCATTTTATGACATTAATGACAATAATACTACAAATTATGGATTCATAAATTGTATTAGTGTACACTGACCATAATTTCATTTTATTGCTATTGTGTGTTTATATATTGTCTTGGATTCATGGACATCTGGTGGACGAGTGAATTATCATAACATTATTACTTTTTAGGGAACCAAAGATAATTGCTTGGGCATTGTATAAAATGATTGTTGTTAATAATGCCACATATTTTTAGAAGGAAGGCAATGATGAAACTCAAATCTGCTATTATCTAAATGTATTTTTATGTCCTGCATTCATTTAGAGATAAAATACAATTAAGAAGCTCATATACAATTTTAATCACATTAAGCTATTAAAGTCATATGTCATAAATGTTTTAATAATATCGGAAGTTCAGATAAAGTTCAAAGTTATACTGGATTAAAAGAAACATTTTCAGGCTATACGCTTACATGCAACACAAATCAGAATGCATTTTATCCACTGTTCTAGTTATATAGTAGACACACACTTCCTCATATACTGCACAGTGAATTAATAATACTCTTCCATTTGGGAAAGTTGGGAATATAAATTAAAGATTTATACCAAATCACTCCAAAGGAATCTATTCAATCTCCTATTACGCTGGATTCAAAGAGGCTAGATTATAGCTCAGTATGCAGGGGTGGCCTATACTTAAAGATAGCCATCCATGTGAATCCTGCCCATACTTGCCCAACCCCAGAGAGCAGAAGATAGGGGAGAAAATGAAAGGTGGTCTGTGTGTGCGTGCTTGTGTGTGTGTCTGTGTGTGTGTATGTATGTAGACATGTATGAGGAGAGAGGAGGAAGAGGAGGAGGAGGAAGCTCTCGGATGAAGAGCTTCCGTCCAAATCCATCATGATGAAACTCTCCTTTGCACCAGGAGGCCTCAGCTCCTTTAAGGTCTGCACCCTTTGATGGCTATCATTTTAAAAATATCTTACTTTCCAAATGTGGCTGGCTGAGAAAAAATCGGAATGGGATTTTTTCCGACATTTTGATATATCCAGATAAATATTGGAAAAGTTAATCATTTTCAAGGCTATAGTTGGATTTGCTTGGTGGAAGACATTTGACTTATACAGCTCAATATGATTCATGCTTGTCTCCTCCATCTTGGCCGTTTCATCTGCTGGATTTGTGTTGATTTGTTTGGAGCTGCTTATTGATGGCTTTTATCCTGCTGTGCCTGAACCTGACTTTGACCTTTGACCCTTATTAAAGAGAGCCAGTCAACTCATGGCTCAGAGATCAATGAGATAAAACTGAATGAATATGTGCATGCGATACTGCTGTGTGTGAACATATGTGTGTCTGAGGATAGCTCATGAGTGTGTATGTGCTCACCGGAGTCATTTGACTGCAAAAAGCACAATGAACAGCTAGAACAGACTCTTAGATTATTGATCCTTATGGCTTCCTTATACATTCTATCCATGCATTCCCTGTGCATAATAAGAAAAGATTAACTTTATTGATCTCACTGCAGAGAAATTCTCTCATATGATCATTTGTGCAGTGTGAAGGCAGCCTTTAGCACTCACTGTGATGTGACCAAAGTGTTGATGTTTATGGTTTGATGACAAAGATTTGGTTTGTTCTTTTGTATTTTTTTCCCTTGAAGAAATTTAGTTCTAATAGCTTTCACCCAGTCTTCATACTTTCATTGTTACACCATTAGGGGTGTGCAAAAATATCAAAATATCATATCGTTTACTGTGATGATACAGCATTGATATTGTGGGCTGCTGTATCGATATATCTCCAAGAGTATTTTTTTGGTATATTCTATTAAATTATTTTGTTACAGTGCTACAGTTTTGTTGCTTGTTTAGGGAAAGGAAACTCGTTTATGTGACACATTTGACATTTTCACTGTTTTGATTTTTAAAATGTTTGAAGTGGCTTATGTATCGAGGTATGAATCGTATCAGCAGCTTCTTAATGATACCCAGCCCTGTACACCATAGCTCAGCTCATTGTGTAGATAGTGATGGTGAACAGTAAAACATACTGGACACATTTTGTCCATGTTTTTCAGACCTTTCCAGGAATGATTTAGATTGACTAATTCACCTAACACATGCATGTCATTGGACAGCAGGAAGAAGTACCTGGTGATGCCCCTTGGAAAAGCAAAGAGGACATGTAGACTTCACACAGAGACTGGAGGCTGCAAGCCTGAAGGCCAACTGAGAGGTGAGAGAAGCATGGTGCACCACATTAATATCATCATAAATCTTAATCATTCCTAAATGAAGGACAATCACATTTCAACTCAGACTATCAATCACCATCACACCAAGAGCCAATTAGAAAATGCATTTTGACTCGGCCTAATATCTTTATACTCATTCAAAATGAGGCTGTGGTCACCCCTCCACACTCTCCTCAGCAGCTGCTCACCTAGCCCCCCAAAACATCCCGTGACAAAATTTATTCATTCACCCAATCATTTTGGCCCTCTTCACCATTTGAGAGGAGGTGAATAGGCCCATTGTGCTTGCAACCTGTGTACCTCAACCCCTCAAGCACTCTGGCCAATTTCTGCATCCATGCTGTCCCCTTAAGAGGAGAGCGCTGAAATGAAAAGCCTTGTCCTTCTTTTGCTCACCCTCTCTCTCTACTTCCCCCTGCTGCCATCATCCTACCATCCTCATCTCCTCTCCAAAAACAACCCATAATGGTGCGGACTGGAGGCTGTCTGTCTATTTTTTTCTGCCAAAAGAGGGGTGTGTGAGTATAAGTGAGGGAGGGAGAGAGTGAGAGAAGCGGAGCAGCAGCAGTGAGCTCATCATCCTTGATTACGCCTGTCACCACCAGGTAGGAGGCAGCAATTAGCCTTGGCCAGGCCTGTTCCACCGAGACACGCACACACACACATACACACACCCAGCAATAATTATGCAGACATAGCACACACGCATTCACACACAAGCAGCGCGAGGGGCCCATACACTCGGGAGAGGCCAGGCTGAATGAGTGTGGCATCTGTTAGAGAGTGATTTGGCTGGCAAAGTGAAAGAAAGGATGGATGAATGTGTGGAGGAGAGTAGCAGCAGCGGTGCACTGGCATGGAGGGACAGCACAGGAGTCACGCTGAAGGACAGGAGGGGAAATACAGCCAGGGAAAGTTAGTGATTAGGAGCTATAGGTTAGTGGTGTTATAGCGGAGAGGTGGCTGATTGGTCAAGAGCAGGTTAAATATACAGATTGTTAAAAATAGAAGCCATTAAAATGATGTGAAATGTATAGACAGGAAGCTTGCATTGTTAGTTAAAGTGTGAGTTTTCGGTTTCAATATTGAAAAGTTGGGCCATGCAGTAAAATGTACATAAAACTTGTTTTCTAGTGACTCCAAGTTGTCATCTGACTATAATGTAGAAACAAGTCTATCCAATGTTTATATAAAAATTTGATTTTCTCTACAGCACAAGCTACATTGAAAACTGAATATCATAAACGAGGCATGTGATAAAATGTTTATTTAAAATGCTTAGAAATTAGTGTTGATTTGCAGGAAACCAATAAAAGGGTAAACAGATGGAGTAAGCAAAGAAAAAGTCAATGAAGAAAAGGGCTGGGGAAGGAGATGTGGGGATGCTGAGATGGACGGGGAGAGAAGATTGGCTGCCTGCTTTTGATAGTGTGTGCCAAATCGATTGTGGCTGACTAATCCAGTTAGCTATGGCAGGAGCATGCAGAAGAGGCGCTTATGGGACTGTTACAGTGCTCTGTCTGCTCTACGCTTCCTGCCCCGTGTGTGCGCTCGTGTGTGTGTGTTTACATGTGTGTTTGTGTGAAGCATGTCCAAATCTGACACCAGGCAAAGCTAGTGCCATTCTGTCTGTCAGACTCCCCTCTCAGAGCAAAGAGACAACAGATCCCCAGGCATCGCCCAGCTATACAAGATGCTCTCAAATTCAGGCTTTTTTGCATTGCTTCTACCTTTACAATGACAGCAGATAGCCAGATGCACAGTAATATGGTGTCTTAATTCCTTGTCTAAACCTTGTATTAATTAGAGCCTTATAAGCACACATTTTGAGTCTCACACAAATAAGGACAGATGGAGGCTGCTGGCAGTTGTAACCAGTTGCAAAGTTTTTTTTTCTTCTTCTTCCAGTTAGACTAGAGCTGTTTACATTTGTAGTTGCGCTCCAATCCAACTCCACACATGAAATATAAATGTAGATTTCCAGAGCAGCAATGATTTTGGTTATAAAATTTGTGAAGAATGGGGAGAGTTTCACGTTGTGGCAGAAGGCTATAGGGTGCTTAGCATGCAGTGGCCCCTCAGCCTGCTCTTTACAATGAGCCACTTATGTAGAAAGGGGACGCCGGCATGTTAAATCACTTCATCTATAATTGCCTGCATTTACTTCTCCTTAGAGGGCCAAACATAAGAAAATTCTCTTAGGCCCAATAAATGTTGCTGTGGACCGTATTTGTGATTAGGGGCTGGGGGCGGAGGATGGGTTTGACGCTCATTTTTCACAAACAATTTTTCCATTTTTCTTCACAGGGAGACAGTTGGCATTAGATTAGGACAGGCCTAACAGAGGCAGGGCCGCTAGCAAATTGTGTGGCTTGAAGGGCAAATGCCCCTCTGAATTTATCAACTTATGGCTCCAGTGAGCTGCGAGGGATGATGATGACCTCAAGATACCCTCCTAAGGATGCCTTTTACCGTCACTACATGCTACATAGGCCATAGGCTATTGCTCTGACAGAGCAGATTTTATTTTATTTTTTTATTTCCAACTTGTGAGTAAATTGGCCATATGTGGATTTTTAATGCATTTAATCTCTATAAATATGTACCATCAGTTTCTATAAATAAATAAAGCTTTTACCATTGCACACTCAATTTAAATCTCTAACCATATGGGGCTACCAATGCATGTGATATGAGTTGAACTTACCACATGGTTGAGCTACATATTAATGCCTCCTGTAGTGGTTGGTAGCATTAGTTGACAGATGGATTTGAAAAATAAACTTGATTTTGATTGATGTGTGTAATTAAGTTTACAAAATGACCAATGCATTTTTACACATTATCTTGAAACACAGGAAAACATGTATCTGTTTGCTTTGCAAAGTGTATTCTATGTACTATTTTAATTGTTGATTGAGTGCAGATTTTATGCCAGGTGCCCTTTCTTGCACAACCCTGTTTATTTAGAAAGGCTTTGGACTAGCATGCAGGATTATAATAAACACCAGTAACACCTAAATCTGTATGCAGATTTGTCGGCAGACATGTGAGCTGAAATTTAAAATTATGAACTCCATTCATCAACACTATAAGATTAGCATCTCCAATCATGTCAACCTGGAAACAGGTGATACATGCTTCAGGGTTGGTACATTCTGGGCATGATTTAATGATCACACCAGAGTCATTTGTTCTTACTATAATTATCACCCCATTGAGATAATCAAAGCTCCTGTTAATAGAATGGAGTGAAAGGTCACCCTTACTAATGCCTGCCAAGTGAAAGATGAGATGTTTCAGTCCATGCTAAACAACAAGACGCATGCTATGAAACTGTGATGCTCAGAAGTATTGTTGTTAAATAAGAATAGTACTTATCTATCTACAGTAGTGAGAGAGCAAAATATGTGAAAGAATATGTATTGTATTTAGTTTATTATCTGTTTTGATCAGTTGTGGCTGCCATATGTAACCCAACTAGAATAACTCTCACTAGGTTGAGGTATTCTTTATCGACTCCATAGTGAGTCACCCTTCAGTTAAGTTGTCACGACACGTCAGTACACATCAATACAGCCTATCTATAGAAACCTCTTTGATATATTGACATAAAACCAACATATAGTGATATGGATCACACTTGATTTATGATGTTTTAATTGTTAGTGATTTTTTCTAGGTCAGTGCACACAATGCACAAAATATAAGTTATGCCAAATACCATTTAGAATTTTTGAATAAAAAATGTGCCAAATCATATGAATTGAAGATCTTTTATATAGTTTATTTTGCTGTAACTTGGTTAAAAGACTTTTATATTGTTCTGTATTGTCATTGTATTGCAGCTCAAATTCTTATTGCACACATTGTATCAACATCAGTGAATCAACATCAGTCAATATCATATTACAACAAAATTGCTGATATATCACTTGATCTGCTTTAGTCCAGCTGAATACATAAAATAAAGTAAACTTTGATTTGAGTGTGTTTGTAGAAAATTAATTTTTTATTTTTTTTTTCAATTGAATCCGAAATCATTTATTTGGTCTTGTTACATCTCAAGCAGAGTCCATCTGTCCATTTTCCAATCTCCCAGTGCTGGAGACATTTATCTTTACTGTTGTGGTCTGGCGGACGTTTCTTTCACCCACATCTCCTCTGAGCAGATCCTGAGGTGCTCCCAGTCTGTTAGGCATACATCATGTCTCCAGTGTCTTCTTGTTCCTGTGGGTTTGGCTCCGGGTAAGCACCATTTGAACTGTTTCCACAAAGTGTGCCAGGCAGGTTTTCCCATCCAGCGCCTGGAGCAGTTCACCTGCTCTTTTTCACTGGGAGGAAATAGAGTTGTGTATCTCTCTGCTGCACTATCTGTATCTACTGGAGACAAGACCCGCTCTGGACAGGATTTACTTTTCCCATCCAACATGAACTTGAGTTAGTTTTGATTAATACTTTTCATTAGAATCCTTTGTCACACAGTGATCCTATTGGGTGTAGTGCATCTTAAGTAGTGTGTTAATATAGTACATTATTAATGTGGGGCTATGATTGGAAGAGTCCCATATTTCAATTTGGGGAAAGCCTGAGTTGCTGTTTCAGCTCCTGGTAAATGAGGAAACAGTACACCTGGATCGATGGTACAATTCATGGTCACACTAACCCTTCATGTGTACAAATCAGTAGTACGACACCATAGTTTAGCTCTTATTTCTATCTGTTTTAAACCTGGTAAAGACAAATATTTTCTAAGGCTGTACATGGTGTGAAAAGTTTGTGAATCACTGGTCTATAGATTTGATTGCAAAAAAGAAACAGACATACCTACCTAAATTACAGTGTGTTTGTTTTATATAATATATCTTATAAGTCTAAATTGGCTATCTAGTGAATAACATTTTAATCTCTACCAAAGTGCAGCTAAAAGTCAGTAAAAAAGAAACAAACCTTAGACATTGGTTTTGCTCAGTATAAAATT